CGACTAGTGAAGTGCTGACTGTTTCACGACTACAAAMMAAGTTGTTAGATCTCGCGAACCAAGTGTGAGTGCCATGGGCACCATCTGTTGCCTGGGAGGAGAGCACCGCCAACCTCGTTGAGGTGGTTCTCGACGAAGTCGATGGAAGCGTCACAGACTTCCATGGCCATGTCGAAGAAGGAGATGGTGGCTGGGTCGAGGTAGTAGGACCACTGAGCGTTGTACCAGACATCACCACGCTTGATGATTCCCATAATTCCACGTCCCTCCTGGGTTCTGTTGGCGATAAAGTCACGGGCGTGCTGGATCAGGGTTGGGTTGGACAGCTTGATGGTGAACTCGTTGTGGCTGTCGGAGAAGACAAAGTAGGCGTTTCTGGCGTAGGCCAAGGTCACGGTGACCAGCATCAAGGCGGCAATAATTTGGAATGACTTCATTGTTATTATGAGTTTGTTAAATTGATTAATTGATTATTAGATGTAGCTAATTAATTAGTTCTAATTGAATTGATGTTTTAAAGATGTCCATGGACAAGTCTATTTATACTTTACCTCAACTTATAACATATTAGATAACTTTAAATGTGATAATGTCGTCTCACCCTTTCGTTTGCAGGTTTGTTCACAAAAGTTGACTTTTGGTGGGTGACATCCAATCAAAATACGAAAAGTTTATCACTAGATTCAAAAGGACACGGTTTGTAACCAAGTATGGGACTATGGTCCGACCTGAGAGACGGCGGGATAGGTCATAGGAGCTCAGACCTTAGAACCCCGAGCCTTGGTCTAACTATTATTTATCATTTAATCTCTCTTTGTATAAGGTACAATGTTAGTTATAATAAAGTGATCGCGGAATATTCATATATCCTATGTTGGGGGAGGAGTGGATGTATGCCATTAGGCTATTTATTCGAATAGCTGCTTGAGCCACCATCGTCATTGTCATTGCTATTTCCTTCTCCATTTCCATCACTATCACCATCACTTTTGGTTTGACTTGTGAAAGGTGAACTTGGTGCAGAGCTGCTGGACTTCTTGTTACCAAGATGGGATCGTCGGTGAGGATGAGGTGTATAGGTTGGCGCTGGTGACATCGATTGTTTGACAAGTTGAGATGGAGATGTAATATTGGTTGCTGTTATAATTGTAGTATTAGTTGTTGGTGTTGTTGAGGTGATGGTGGTAGTGTTAATCGGACCGTTTGAATGAATGTTTCCATGAATACTGGAAGGTGAAGTGGTTGATGATTTCTGTTGAGGATGAGGTTTAAATACAGGTGTCTGGGGCGATGACCTTGCAGATCGCATCTGGAATAGTCGTCTGATGACTTCGTAGTCTTTGTCGTCAATGTCTTTGTTGTTGCTGCTAGAGTATCCACCGCCACCACTGCCACTGCCACTGCCACTACCGCCAGAGATGTTGGTACCAGCAATATCAGGCAATGAGTGTAAGATATCTCGATTGTAAGGTGTGAGTGAGGGGCGGCGTCGACGGAAGCCCATTGGAGTGCTGCGACCAGACATCACGGGCGTTCCAAATGCCGGACTTGGTGAATCCGGTGAGAATATATTGGCATTGTTAAAGTTGAACGATCCCTCCTCATTAGAGTACATCTCATAAAATAACAATATATCCTTGTTCCTGTCCAACTGTCTTTCCTGTTCCTCGACATACTTTGTAAGCTGATATAGTATGGTATGTTAGTTCTCGACCGGCTTGACAACTTGATCAAGTGTATAGTGGGTACCTACGGATACAACTACTGCCTTGCCTCGGAACAGGAAGTAGAACTTGGGTAGGTATAGTACGAGTAGGGTTACCAGGACAAAGAGTAGAATGGATATTGTTGGAATGAGGAATTGGGCAGTCTGATTGGATTGCAGGGAAAATCGAAGTGGGATCAGAATACCCAGAATGATCAAGTAGTTGTACACAAGTATGGCAATATAGACGGGTTCACTGAATGTTCCCGGTGAAGAATGGAACTCTCTGCTCTTGTATATTAATACACAGCATGCAAATAATAGTATTTCCTAATTTTGATTGATTTGATGGATTGATCGAGAGTGAGTGAGTGAATGGTCGTTAGTGATGGTGAGCAAATACTTACCAAATATGCCAAGTTGATGACGATGTAGATGTAGGCGGAGTTGTTCTCGCATAAGTGGGCTGCCTCTTTGGGTCGGAAGACCAATCTCTCATTGTTTGATGATAGTACAACATTGAGAATTACCAACAACTATGGATGTTGATTGATTGATTGAAAGTTAGTGATTGATTGAATGCTATTGGCAGACACACAGAGAGATGTTACATACCAATGGTCCAAGCATAAGTAATGCAAGATTCCTTAAGAAGTTGGATGTCTTTACAAGTGATTCGGTCTGGAAGTTTAACTCCTTTCTGATTCGATATATACGGATGTTCTTGGCAATGACACTACATGTTATGGTGGACATGGCTAGTGGAAGTATGATGATTCGCAGCTTACAGGTAACAGAGTTGACAAAGTATAGGGGGAAGATGGATGATTGAAGAAGGAGTGCTGAGAAAAGTATGATCAGGAGGAAGGCACGGTTCGAGTATCGGATGATCTTGTTGTTCCAAAAGATGATGATCATGATGATACATGCAATGACCAATGCCATCTCCAAGAATATGAGTATGAACATGATGTTGACCAGATGCTTTGGGATCTTGGAGAGTTTAAGACAGTGATATACGCCACCAACGACGAACGGTTGGGTGCCAGGCGGGCATTGCTTAAAGTAGATCAAACATACAAAGTCACCAGTGGCAGGTGGCGGGTCTGATGTGAAGGTCAGGTTGCACTGGCTGCCTGGTGGACCACTCAGTTCCAGTTGCCCCAGCTGCTGAATGCCCATCTTTGTGGCCGATGCCATGGTGATGCCCTCGAGTCGTACGTTGGGACATGAATGGTACACTCGATATGTAATGTCGTTGTATCCTCGCAGTGTGTTTCCAAATGCGTCATACGAGATGATGGACACGGTGAAAGTCTGTGGTGTCTCAAAGTGTCGCGGTAAATTGGCAGAGAAGTTGTAGTAGTTGGTGTTGACGTCGTCGCCGTGATCAGCATGATTTTTGGAGGTCGTACAATTGATACAATCATACTCGCATAGTATGTCCTGAGTGTAGAATGTGATGGCACCTGCAAAACTGACCATATTGCCCGATATATCATTGTTGGCAAAGTAGTTGGTACACACTGTATCATTCCATCTCTTTGGATTCATATAATAAACCATGGCGCCATATGGAGATGTGTTGTTTGTCACGAAGCTCCTCGTCATTGTGAGTGATCCAGTTTGATCAAGTTTGAGTACACCTGCAACCTGCGGTCAATAAATCAATCAATTATGGTAATGTTAATAGAAAATGGTCACTCTAGATCGAAGTTGATGATGAGTTAACCAAACTTACGAATGTTCCAGTGTTGTTGTTAAAACTTGTTTGAGAAAGAGTGATGTTGTAGCGGTTCCTGGCCTCGATCAATGCGTTCTTGTAGGTGTTGTTGGCGAATGTCGTCTGGGAGACAAACAGTTCGGCCATGTTGTCCAAAAAGATTGTCGTGGCCGACATGCACTTGATGAAATCAGAATGATGAACACGCATCGTCGAACTATTCTCAATAATGATCAATGAGTCTGTCGTCCTACAACTCATGAACCTACAGTTCATAATGAACACTGGTCCATTACCGTATGACTCTACTATCCTACCTTGAATACCTTTGATTGAATGATTGAGTGAGTGAGTGAATGAGTGGGAGAGCGTACACAAAGTACATACGCTTGAACCATGACTCCATAATGACAACTACTGTATTGGAATCTGATGTGATGATTGAGGCAGAGTTGTTGACTGCCACGCAATCCATGACCATGGTGAAACTGTTGGAACTGGCAGAGAATAGTGATGATGCACGCATTACATTGTTTTGAATGATGCTGTGCTCCACCAACAACCATGAACTTGTTCCAAACATATTGCTCTCCGTTCCAAAGTTTGAATCAAAGATACATCCAGTAAAAGATGAATATGTATCATCGCTCAACAATGCTATACCTGATATTATCGCAGTATTCGATTGAAATATTGAATAATATGCTCTAAATTCTACATTTCTGGCCCTATTATATATTATTTTGATCAGTACAGTGTCGCAGTTAATTGATTGATAGATCACTTACATGATCAGTAAAGAGAATGTGCTGTAATTGTTGTGAAACCTGCATGTCGAAATATATAATGAGTTATACACTAGATTGATTGAGTGATTGAGATTGGAATAGTTCCAGTGATTGAGTTATTGAGTGAGTGATTGGAATAGCTCCAGTGTTTGAACGGATGACTACAATACATACCTCCAGTGATACCATATGTTATAGTATTGGAAATGAATAGACTCTTATAAATGAACATCCTGGTATCAAATGAATATATAAGGGAGACAGCTTTGTTCATCACAAATCGATTGTGTGTCATCACAACTCTTGAAGCAAACGAAAGGAATATTGTCGATATCTTATTACCCTTAAATATCGAGTTGGTAACAGTGGCATATGCTATAAATGTTCCAAATGTTAGTCAAGTCTGTTCCATGCATGTACTGTACAACACTCAATCACTTACAATCATATATTTGAAAGAGATAGAGAAATGTGTTGTTTGTCACTATAAGTCGATCAATGGATACTGATGTGTAGAATAGTTTGATGTAGGCTGGGACATTGTTGTATGATTCGACAAGATTGCTACCATCGTTGTATTGTGTGATGATGGGCCAAGAGTATGTGCCGTCCAGTGTGATGTTGGATACAAAGGCTGTTGTGAAAACCAAGCGTAGCCATGAGCCACTGGAGGGGAGGATGATGATGGTGCTACCCTTCTCATTCCTCGTGCCAACTATCGATATGACTTGAAGAAAGAACTCGGCGTAATTCTGATCAGTGTAGTTGTACAGGCCTGGTGCCATTGTGATTGTAATGTTTGATAGGATTGTCATGTATAATGTTTGATTGGCGACACCCTTGAATGAGAAGCATGGAGTCTCCACCGTTGATCCACATTTCGGGTCATCTATGCCATCAGGTGCCAAGTAAAATTTGATCTCTCTGTCTAATGGTCTAATATCTCTAAATCTTGCTGGTATAATACTCTCCACAAGTCCATTGAATGATTTGTCTGATTGGGTGATTGTTAGTTAGTTAGAGTCCATCCATCCATCCATCCATCCATCGATCAAATAATCAAACAAGTAAGTACCTTGGAAATGAAATGTCTGTGAAGGATCTGATGGTGATTGTGAAGGCGGTATTGGAACGGGGATGGGAACTCCACGGACTGGTGGAGTGTCTGGATTGGGTTGTGTTTGTATTGGTTCCTGGCTATATATCGGTTGTATCAACATGCTGCTGATGTTGAACAACAGCAGGAACAACAACAGTGTATTCTTTAGAAGCATGATGATTATAAAATAATAATATTGATGACTTGGACATTGGCTGGCTGTTTGATTGGTGTCGCTGGACCTCTGTCTGTCTCTGTCTCTGTCTCTACCTCTCTACCTCTCTACCTCTCTATAGTCTATGCTCTCTTTCTTAGGATTTGATCAACATGTTGATTCCAGGTTGGACAGTAATCTAAACAGGGTTGACTCAACAACGATTGATTGTTGGCTGATTGGCAACTCACACCTCAGCCCACGCACTCTAACTCACTCACTCACTCTCTCACTCTTTCACAATCTTCTCTCTCTCTCATTCATTCATTCATACATTCATACACCTAATGAATGAATGAGCAACATCCATCATGGACCTATCAATGTGAACATTGGCCATATGAATGAGAAGAAAGGGAGTCGAAATCAGCTAGTTCGTAAGGTACGGGTAAGGGTAGTGTAGGGTGTGAATGAATGAATGAGCGGAGGAGGGAGTGAGGTAAATTAATTGCACAACCTAGCATATGTTTGTTTGTTTGTTATGTATCTGATCATATGACTCCAACCCCATTCGAGCAAAGTGATCTACCCAAAGACAGTTTGGGGGATAGGTGGATGAGTGATTCTGATCAATTAATTGTGTGTGTGTGATGGAAAGAGAGAATTAGTGAGTGGGTTAGTGTGAGCAGCTGATCAGGTATTTGTGTGGTCCATCCAGTCGAGGTTGATGTTGATCAGTGATCGTGTAAATAATATTTATATTTATTATTTATTAATTATTAATAATAATATTTCTCATCTCATGTTAAAAAGATGACCGGTCATCCATACACAAACTCAATTGATGGAGATACAGCGAATGTCAATCCAGGGAGGCCCGCCATATGCCCTCAAAGCGTGGGGATAGAAAGAACTTAGTCGTCGTCATTGTCTCACGAGCTCGCCTCCAAACCATTTCATTCATCCATCTCATCCATTCTTCTCATTTAAACTAGCAAACAAACAAACACAACAAAACATTTGATGATGTAAAGAAGTAACGAATCGCTCGATCACTTATCACATTTATATATTTATTCGTATACAATGGTCCATGGACCTTAGCGGATGTCCAGCTCACTCTTGTTGTAGAGCTTCTCGAGACTGCATGATGGAGAGTACAGGCCGGCCTCTTTGGAATTGGGGAACACGTTCCAGAACCGCAGGGTTTGGTCGCCGGCACCAGTGACAATGGATTGGCCATCGGGCGACACCGCCAGATAGAGGACACGAGTGCTGTGGCCCGTCAGTGTGGTCACCGTCCGCAGACTTGGGTAACTCCATATGGTGATCTGGTTCTGTGAGTAGCCGTGTGTGGACACCAACTCGTTGACATTCTTGGACCAGGCCAGGTTGCACACTTGGGAGCCAGTGTCGATTGATTGCAGCGAGGTTCCAGTTGTTGTGTTCCAGAAGCGGATGCACTTGTCTTGTGTGCCACCACCTGAGGCTAACAGTCCGCGTTGGTGTGGCGACCAGGCGATTGCCTTGACGGCCGCTTGATGGTACTTGAGCTGGTAGAGGGGACGCGTTTGATTTGATTCCCAGACGGCCAAAAGGTTGTCGTTGCCGCCACTGGCGAGCTGCTGTCCGTCGGGCGACCACTTGAGTCCACAGATCTCGTTGCGATGGCCGACAAGACGGGAGGTAAAGTGGGCGCTATCTCGGACGTCGTGGTGCAGGATCATCTTGTCCTTGCCACCACTAGACAGTATGTGATTGTTCCACGCCAGGGCATTGACGCGCGCCGTGTGGCCTTGCATCTCTCGGATCTTTTTCTTCTTGGTCACGTCCCATATCTGCACCAGACCGTCACTGCCGCCGACCGCCAAATGCGTGCCGCGCTGTATCCACGACAGGGATGTGACGTTGGAGTTGTGGGCCTCGAGGCCATAGTCGCACAGCTTGGAGACGCGAGCAGTCGACGCGTTCCACAGGTAGATCGAGCGCTCCAGAGCAACCGCCAGTATGTTTTGAGAGCTCCAGTCGATCAGGTTGAGATAAAAGTCGTCCAAGATGTTTGGCGCATCCAGCACCTTGTAGGGCACCTTGGGGATCTTGCGATTGGGCTTGCGGGGCGACGACAGGAGCTTCTGCGAGTCCTTACTCAGCGGGGACAGACTGTAGGGCGAGTCGGCATTGTCCATCAGCTTCTTCTTTGGCGACTTGAATTGGAGTATGCGGTTGGCGCTGGATGGCGAGTCGTTGGGGTCGCTGTCCAGAAGATCCAGCTGCTGTGAAAGGTTGGAGCGGGGCGTGCCCGGTGCATTGTCGAGGTCGCCTGTGGCGGCGCTGAGGTGATGGTGCTGTGACACCAGGTTGTGATGTGTGTTGGTGATGTTCATGACGCCAGAGACGTTGCCACTGTTGCCGCTATTGCCGCTGTTGCCGCTCTGGTACTTGTATATGGGGTTGGCGAGCTCCAGGATGTAATTGCTGTGGCTACTACTGCCACTGTTGCCGCCCAGGATCTCATTCTTTAGTATTATGTTGTAGGCCAAGTTGGGCTCGAGCTGTGTCTTTTCTGAGCCATTGTTACCACTGTTGTTGCTGCTATTGTTGCCCATGTTGTTGTTGTTATTGTTGATCGCACCATTGTTTGTTTGAAAGAGTGATTGGTTCGAGAGTGATGATGATGTCGGTGCCACGTAGTCGAACGTTGAGAACTTGCCCAGAGTCTCTGCGCACACAGACATTGGAATGAATCGATCTCCATAGTTATTTGAATTGATCCTGCTGCTGCTACTGCTACTACTACTATTATTAATGCTACTATTACTGCTGTTGTTGTTGATGTTGGTGCTTGAGTCGCTCACTATATATACATTCTCATTGTTGTTGCTGCTGCTGTTGTTGCTATTGTTGTCTGATGTTGAACTAGTAGATGTATACTCGTCAAATAGTGATTGATTGAAGCTGGACATTGGTATCGGATTGGCAGCTGCCTGTGAATAGATCTTCTTGGGCGATCCCCTCGACGGCGATCGTAGCCTTGATTCATAGTCTGAGTGGAACATGTTGTGTGTAGGTAGGTAGAGAGAGAATGTACAATGATGGATGATGATGAAGTCTTGAGATCTTGATGAATGAATGGATGTTCCAAATGTGAAAACAATGAGAGAGAGAGAGAGAGAGAAGAATTGTGTTCGATTCGACTCGCCTGGTGTTGTTTGATGTTGTTGAGTGTTGGGTTTGATTGATGGTTGTGAATACAACCTTTGTGAACTGCTGCTCGTCGTCGAGTTGCTAATGCTACTGCTACTGCTACTGCCTTAATGTCTGCTGCTGCTGCTGCTGATATGCTTTTAATGCTGTTTCTAAAGATCTAGTCGAGGAATTGAACTATCTAACAAACTTTCAATGTTAATAATGTGTTGCTGTTTTGCCTGTTTGTTGTTGTTGTTGTTGTTGTTGTTGCTGTGTTGCTGCTGCTGCTGCCTCGTGTGTGTTGTTGTTGTAGAATGAAGTTGTAACAACAAGAGGGGAAAGGGGAAAGTTTAATAATGACAACTGTTATGGATGGATGGATGGATGGATGGGATTGTTGTTGTTGTTGTTTGGTCTGTCGACAATCTTTGTGTGCACACATGCTTTGTCTACTCTATATGTTGTGTTGTGTGATGTGATTGAAGTGATACAATATGATGCGCGTATGTGAAGAGAGAGGGGTACGCAAGCATGGATCCCGTCGCCCCCTCGTTGGAGGGTTGTACGACTGACTGACACTATGAGAGATAGACCATGATACCGTTGTGTTTGTGGCGCGCATCATGCTTATAAAGCATCCATCAGTGTTGCCATAGAGTGGCAAGTGTTGCATGTATTTGGCCTCATTCATTCAATCGACAAGCCAACACACAGGTCTATCAAGCAAGCATTTGAATATTTGAATGGAGCTGTATAGTCCATACTACTAAAGCGCCTTCATCTTGCCTTGCCTTCATTTCTTTGATTGCTCGCTGGTTGGCTGGCTGGTAGTAGTGGAAGTAGTGGCCTTAAGCGCGCAAGTAAACATCGCCCATAATATTGTTGTGTTTGTGTTTCATGAGTGCGATGATGATGTTGTGCGCGAAGAACTCACTTCCAAACCCACCACAAACATATTCACGCAAATTGCAATTTGATGGTGAGTGATGGTTGGATGGATGGACGGGTTGATGGATGTTTGGATGGATGGATGTAGGCAAACAAACAATGTTTGTGTTGTTGTTGATGACAATGTTGTTTGATATGCTCCACATCCGTCCAGCTACATATGATAAAATGGTACCTGTTTGTTGTATATTGTTGTTGTGTATGTTCTGTGAGGAGCCTTACCTTGATGGATATGTATCTGTTCCTGGTGCTGTGCTGTTGTTTCAACTATTGCCACTAATGAGCTGTGAGCTTCGAAGAAGTGGTTGGTGATCTTGGTGACAAGGAAGGAAGGTAGTAGGGAGAGGATAGAGAGAGAGTGAGTCCGATGTTATGTGGAAAGCGTGGAAATTGCCTGATGATTGTGCGTGCCTGTGTGGCGGTGGAGGATGGTGAGTGTGTGTATGTGTGTGAAGGTGATGTTGGTGGTGGTCAATGTGATTGAGGTGGTGTTGAAGTGAGTGTGCCTTTTTGAACTTTTGATTTTGAACGTAACAACCACATCACCGTTATGAATTTTTATTTAATTTTAATGTTGTGTTTTTTCCACTCCCCCAACCATCAGTTCAAAACAACAACAACAAAAAATCAATCAAATAACTAATTGACAAAATATTTTGGCGCCAATTTGTCAATCTCCTGATTCAAATCTCTCCGTCTCTATCGAACTTGGTTCAGACCTTATTGCCTCAAACAAGATCTTGTCTTGTACGTGCACAAGGGTCATCATCCTCTTGAGTACACCAAGTGTTCATCCTTCGACCTTTGTTTGTTTGAAGACTCAACATAATTATTCAATATGGTCAATTCTGCATTTATTGCAATGCTGGCACTAAGGGGTATTGTCAATATGTATTATTATACATGACATGTATAGATGTATGTTTTACATGTACACGAAGAGACAGGCAACAATAACAAACATAGCACACCGCCGATCACTTAGTTTCGCGGGGACAGGTGTAGTTGTGTTGTGTGTTGGGGGAATGCTCTCAGACAACGGGGTCACAAACACTCAATCCTCAAAAATGAGGATACTTTCAAGTCGCGTACCCCTCGCCATTGTATTATTGTTGGCGCCCATCAATCAGTATCAGACCATGCTCGTCGACACACAGGAGTCTGTAATCATAGGCATACTAGCATGACCTTATAAGTATCCATATCCGTATCCATTTTTTTCAAATTATCCTTTTTTAAATAACTATTACTACTAGTATCTTTTATGAGACAACAACTCTAGCAAAGGACACTTCTACCATCTTCACCTTCACATCCAATCCATCAACATACATAACATATTTAGTAAACATATACATATATAGTAAACTTAACATTTTGTGTTTGATTAAATTAAACATGTTTGACCTCTCTCTATCATCCAAATCATACAAATATATAATACTACTTACTTTAACATTCATTTGTTGTTGTAATATTCATTGTAGTTATGGTATGTGTAATACTTCTTAAGCTCACATTCACATAGACAAACAGACATCTAACTCTTATCCACAACCCAGCCAAACATATAGATACTTATCAACTCTCAAACTGCTCCAGTAGTAGCAGTAGTATTAAGAATGGTAGTAGTTGGAATATATCCATTTCAATACATAAAGTACAAAATACAACAACACAATTAATTACACTTGCAAACTCATCACACTCAAACATAAAGAATTCCACCGATATCAACAACACCAACAACACAATTACAGTTAACATGTCTGAAATTGACATGGAAATGAACACTATAAGGTCCATCAAACAAAAGATGTCATTGGACCAACAAAGAAAAGACAAACTATCATTCGATAGTCTTATATTTGCTGCCATCATTGGCGGTCTCCTGGTATTCGTCATATCATAATGTTTGTTAGATCAACAATCATTATATTATATTATATTATAAATACACTATATTGTACACAAATGTATTATTCTAAATCCAATCCCAATCCAATCCAATCAATATATTGATCATGGTTGATAATATGTGTTTGACAGTCACTGTTTATTTTGCCCATCCAAAGTCGCGGTTCAATAGCTTGTACAGCTTCTCATTCTGTGGTCTAAAGTATTCTACTAGCATCGCGCGAGTATCATTGTTCATAGGTCCATGTGGAACAACATTCTTTGGTCTAAACTCTCCATAATCATACTCTGGCAGTCCCAAAAATAGTTCCACATCACTCATCACTAAGTTGTAAGTTGTAAGTTAGTATCCATCAAAGTGATTATCCTTGTATCCATCTGTCTTATACATACCCTTCTCTGGTTGATTTGCAATGTCCTCATAACGGACGATGTGAATTTGGTCCAATGGGAAGTAGTTGAGCCAGTGCTCCAACTGATCATAGTAGAGTGACTTAGCCAACATACCAAAGGTGGGGTGACCAGAGGCGTGCAACATGTTGCCAGTCTGGAAACACTTGTCGCACTTCTTGCACTCGGCATAGAATGTCCAGTTCTTATCGTTGTGCAGCTGGAAGTACGGGTTCTCAAGATCGAACGAGTCGTCCGGTCCAGCCGTCAGCTTCCACTCATCGAGCGCTGCTTTGTAGCGCTCCTGGCCTCGCACGCACGTGTCGATCACATCGATCTCCTCGCGCACCATGTCGTCGAATGACAGGGGCTTGACAAGTGTGGCAGCTTCATTGCGGTTTCTGTTGTCCTCCATCCACTTTAGCGAGAAGTGGTACTGGCTGAGTGCGCGGTCCACTGGGTCGCGCAACATGAGGATCAACTTGACGCTGCGAAGTGTGGAGAAGATGCGCTGCGCCGTGAACGGATTATTTACATAGAATGGCGTGGCTTCGCCAATGAGTTTGGACTGCTCTTTGCTGCCGCCTGCGATGGCAGGCTCAAAGTGGTCGCCATAGAACTGGATACCCTTGTAGTAGAAGCTGTTGAAGTACCAGATCTCCTTCTTGGTGTGCTTGGCCACCAGTGGATGCGTCTGGATGTAAAAGTCTAGGAATGTGGTGCCGGCCTTCATTGAGCCAATCACGATGAAGTTGGGAAGACACACCTGCTTGCCCTCGGTGATGGGCATGCATGTGTTGGGGATCTTCTGTGTGGTGCTCTTGCGTCTAGCCTCTATTTGCGCCGTAATGTTGGCGTGGTCCTCCTTGGACAAGAACTCCTTCTTCCTAAGCACGCCAGACTTGCCATTGTGTGGTTGATGTGGTTGCTCGGGCTGGTGTGGTTGATTGGGCTGGCCATTGTTCTGAGAGAGATGGGCGATCCTCGCCGACAGCTCCTTCAATGTCTCTTGTTGTTGTTTCTGTATTTCCAGCAACTGATCCAATGTTCTCATTGAGTTGCTGTTTGTGTTGATAAGGCCACCACCATTATTATTGTTGTTATTACTATTGTTGCCAGCTTCGGTTGTTGTCATATATATTTGAAATCCGATGATTCCAACAAACACCAACACCAAGAAGTATATTATCTGTTTCTTCTCTACCATTGCTAGTGCCATCTTTCTTTAAATATTGTGTTGTTTCTAATCTAGATATGTTTCAATGTACAAGCATGCTCCTATATTCGTCTTTATCTCGATCTATTTGTATAACTATATATATATATATATATGTATGTATGTCTATCTTTGTGTGTGTGTGTGTGTGTGAATGAGTGATGTCTTTGATCAAACTTGTCAAATATGTCGTTGGCCCTGACGAAGTCGATTAATTAATTCTTGAGGCAACAAATATCTGCACACGTGTGTGTGTTGAGGACCACAGAAATGCAACTTTCAAAGGATTATTATAAATATTATTTTTTAATAAATAGAGTGAGATAAGATTGGACAAGATCATTGCGTGGGTTTGGACGATTGCAAAGCTAGTGCAATCAGAGAAAAGTTGTTAGACAACTACCTTTCGTTTCGTCAGTCGACACGTAGTAGTTTGGTTGACTGACTGATTGGGGAGTGCAGTGTGTTTGAGTAGTTGATAGGATGATGGGTTGTGATGTGTTTAAGCCTCATTTCCTACTTCTTGAATTGAATTAACTCCTATTCTAATATTTGAATGGCCGTCATTGGAATGATGATCATTATCGAATAAAATCCAAAGTCGGTATTCTCTATCTACTTCTACATCTGGAATTTTGTTCAAGTATGCTGGCCATTGTTCTATTTATCGCCAACTTACAACAATGTTCTATATCATCTTCATCCAGTTGTGTCCCTACGAATACCCTCAAGTCTTCGAAACAAGCCACGTCTGAAAATTCAGGTAAATGACTATCAATATTAGAGTACCGACTTTGTTTAAAAGGTGGCTCTGGAGTAGATGATTCATTGTCTAGTCGTGGTCTTTTGTTATTCATATTGATGATAACAGTAACTTCATTGTTCTTTGTCATTATATTATTATTTGTTTCGGAAATTAAAGAGTTATTCTTTTTATAATCTTGGATACCAACTTCATTCATCATATTAATGTCTGTACCAAGATGGTCAATGTTATAATACTCAGTATTACTAGTAGCCATTACATTATGACTAATTATATTGTGGACTTTCAGTCTTCTCATTCCTTGTTAACTTACAGATCTAAACTTCTTAGAATGACAGGATGTTGTATCAAATATGGTATTTATTTATTCGATGATGTATATATTATATATTATTTGTAGCAATTATTATTATTGAATGTTAAACGTTCTCTTTGATGTTGATGATGATGGTGAATGTACAACACCCTCTTCCTCTTCATCACTGTCGTCCATAATGGATGTTGATCGGTTGGTAAAGTTGAACACGTGCTTCTTGCCATCGCTCGGTGCTTTGTTGACAGAGTAGGTGTTGTTGTCATCGTCACTATTGTTGTTGTTGTCATTGTCGTCGTAGAGACCGGGGAACTTGGATCCTTGTCCATCGTCGTCGATCTCAAACTTGGGAAGCATCTTGTACCTGGACACTCCATTTCTGAAGCGTTGACGGATGAGACATCCGGCAACACCGATCAGAAGAGCACCGGCCAACAGTCCTCCAATGATCTCCAGCGCAAGAATGGCTGACGATCCGTCTCGCTTGCAGTCGCTGCCAGAGTAGCCTGGCGCACATGTGTCGCAGTGTGCGCCGACGTAGTTGCTTGGACACTTGCATTGGCCATTGCTGTGGTCGCACGATCCCTTGCCACAACCACCATCGCACTCAAATGCTGCTGTGCAGTAGGGGAAGTTGGCGTAGCCTGTGGCACAGGTCTCGCAGTGTGCACCAGCGTAGGCCTTGTTGCATTGGCACACGGCAGTGCCCTGATCGGTTGGTGAACACAATCCGACTGGTGTGCAGGAGGATCCGTTGGTACCGGGCATGCAGCCACAGATATCGTACGTGCTGCATGGGTTGGTGATACAGATGATTTTGTCGCCCTGGTTCTTCTGCATGTAGCCTGCCTCACAGATGTTGCAAACGTCGCCAGTGTAGCCAGTGGTGCAGTTGCAGTTGTTGTCCTTGAACACACCATTGTTAGAGCAGGTGGCATCGATCATGCTGAACTGGTGCTGTGGTGGCAACACGGCCTCCTTGCCACCATCGTCAAAGAGCACACCTGGCTTGAGGGACAGCAGGTAGGTGTGTTGGGAGACAAAGTTGGACTGAGCAGAGAAGTAAAGAGCCCACTTGGTACCATCGTCAGAGTCACAGATGGCCAGCTTGGGGGCAATGCTGCTCGAGGTCTGCTTGTCGTACAGGTAGAATGCCTGCATCAACGTGTTGGCACCATTGGCGTTACATGTGACCAGCTGCTTGTTGGTGGCGTAGAACTTCTCCGAGAAGGTGATCTGCAGGTTGAGGTCAGACGATGGGGACAGGTTGATCGCGCTGGGTGGCACAACTGAACCCACGTAGGCCACGGAAGCATCCATGATCAACAATGAGTAGATGAATGGCATGCAGAGCGTGTTGTAGATGGCTGGTGTGGTGAATTGTTGGGCCAGGGGCGGGTGGCTAATGACCAGTTGGTAGTCGCCAGCGTTCAATCTGGAGCTGGTGAGTGTCTGTGTGAGCGTGGTTGCACCAGTGGTGTACTGGGACGACCAGTCACCAACTCCGATCTGTGAAAGCGAAGTCCTGTTGGTGGCGGTGTTGAAAGTCTTCTTGTAGATGGTCAGGATGAAGTCGCTGGCGCCAGCGTTGTAGCTGAACAATGCTTCCATTCGAGAGACCTTGTCAACAGAGAATGTGATGTTGTACTTGAAGCCAGATTGCTGCGCGAGGAATGGCGACAGGTACGAGCCGGGGAAGAAGGATGTGAGGTACTGCTGAGCGTATCCAGCACTGTTGAGCTGCACATTGGTGGTGGGCATCGATGGGTTGAACGAGGGTGGGCAGCTGAGGTCGCTCTGGATCATGGCCAGTGGCTTGATGTTGATTTGCATCTCGAACGAGGGACAGTTGTCTTTAGTCTTTCCAGTGTACTGCATCTGCAATCTGTAGAGCAGTCCGTTGCCAGCGTAGGTGTCGGGGCCAACAAGGAAGGTGGCTGCACGCTGGTTGTTACCGTGCGTTCCAGTGTTGTAGATGATCTGCTGCACCATTGAGCCAGACTGTTGATCAAAGACGTCGTAGTCAATTGACACGAGTGAGGTCTCCTTGGTGTAGACGCTGACAAGTGACGCCTGGTTCAGACGCATTGAGATGTTGTAGTTGGCAGGAGAGTTGGCGGGCATGAGGAAGGAGTCACCAAACAGGTTCAGCGTGCCAGAGCCGTCGATGGGACCACCAAATTGTTCGGTGGTGCTCGACGACAGGTCCCATGGAACGAGGTCAAAGAGGGTGCAGTCGGCGTGGTCGTTGTTGTCGGTGGCCAACTCAAGGTTGATGGTGAGGTGGTAGGGCGTGCAGTGCTGGCTGAATGTGCCAGAGGGAAGTGGGATGGAGCTAATAATGTCCAGCTCGTAGATGCCTGGCTGGAGTATGGCGTTGATCTCATTGTTGTTGCGGTTGGCCTTGCCAATGATCAGTGTGTGGTTGACATTGTCGGTGGCTGGGTAGAGCTCCAGGTTCAGATCGGCCAGAATGAACTGGAAGCCTATCTTGACGTAGAGCAGTGATGGTACCTGGATGTTGAAGTTGATGCTGGTCACCTTGCCGCCAGTTTGCATATCGTTGTCCGAGATGGTGACAATGTCATTGAAGTTGTAGGCGTTGGTCGCAGAGATCTCTGGTGAGATTGACGTGGTTGCGCAGGTGACTGGCTGGACGATGCCGCCAATCTCTTTCTTAAGACTGTCCACTGGTTCGATGGCCAGCTCGAGGTCAACAGACACGGCCGAGTCGATGGTCATGCCAATGGGGTTGGCCACGGTGAAGGTGTAAGTGCCGACGTCCAGCTTGAAGACCATTGCGCCTGGCTGGTCGGCCTGGCCAGTGAGCTTCAGGATTGGCGAAACGATGGTAGTGTACACATCGGTCTGGTCAGTGGGCAGCACGGCTGCCTGGGCTCTGAAGATTGACTGTGTCTGCAGTGTGAAGGTGAGCTGGTTGTGTGCGGGGATTCCATCAAACATCCAGTACTCGCCCTGGAGGTGCACGCGCTGGTTGTACTGGAGGTACTCGTAGGCATCGAGAGTTGGTGGCAGGATGTGGTAGAAGCCGTTCTCTTGGCTGATCTGGCCCGATTGCTCGACAAACATCTCAAAGTTGAAGTCTGAGCAGCCCATCATGGTCTTGAGTGCGGCGAATGGCTCGTAGATGTAGAGCGTGTACTTTCCGGGCGCCAAGCCAACAATGTCGATGACGTTGCGGTTTGGTCTGGCCTGGCCGTAGATGGTCTTCTGGCCGCTGACGCTGGGGACAAGCTTGAGCGCAAGACTGCCACTGAGGAAGTCGTAGCCTACCTCGACATGGATGTTGCTGGTGACTGTCGTGCTGAATGGCATGGCCTGTGAGGCGAGGCCAGTCGTTGTTTGTTGATAGAATAATCTGGTTGTTGTGACTTGTCCGATGTTTGTGTAGTAGAAGGCCTGGTCTGAGGGCATGGTCGTGGGGAGGGGAGGTGGCCAGAGACTGCCATTGTTGTCACATGTTGGTCCCAGTGGCACGGCTGGCGCGATGGCAATCTCCATGTTGAATGTGTTGCACTTGGGCAGACCCTTGCCCCAACGCCAGAACTGGATCTCGAGGACGTAGGGGTAGTTGGGCTTCAACGTGGTGATGAAGGACTCTTCAGAGCCAATGCCATTGCCACCCGAGATGATGACCTGGTTGTTGGATGGGTCGATCAGCTTCAGGTCCACGTCGACGAGGTTGGGCGATGAGAAGACACGAATGACCGAAGGGGTGGGCACCTGGAAGGGGATGTCGGACTTTGTGTAGATCTGGCCGGAATATGGGATAATGAGGTTGGACGACTGGTAGTGCATGCGGCCTTCGACGCCGAGGAAACGCAGCGAGTTGAGTGACAGTGGCACGTGTTCTCCGTCACACAGATCAGCGATGGCCAGTGGTAGCAGTTCAAACTCGAACTCAAAGTT